TTTCATCGTCTAAAATTATGCAAGCTTTTTTTTCTCTCATCAAATTGCACAGCTTTCGGGCTCGTGTTTTTATAGTTTTTATCTGCTTCTCGCTAACTTTTGCTGCTTTTTGCTTCTTCCGAGTTTCTAAATTATTTCTCTTCTTGCATCTTTGCACCATAGACTGGCTGGTTCCACATTTTTTCGCAACATCTCTAGAGGACATGCTTCGATTTTTCGTTATCACTGATGTTATTTTTACGTCCAGAAGTTGATCTCGAGGACCAATTTTAAAGCTGAGTTTTGGGCAGCGCTGTACCGCCAGTGACTCCAAATATCGGTTCAGTACCGATTCAACCGTACTTCGCGCGATTTTTAATTCCTTTGCAATAAAATGCCGCGGCCTTTGTGGATTTTCATGATATTTGTCAACAATAAGTTTGCGCCGTTGTTCTTGATTCATTTTTACACCAAAACTGTATGCTTCAACGGGAAAGTTCAAATTGGAAATAAAATTTAACGCTTTGAACGAAGCATTGCCGTTGAAAAAAAATTAATATTTTTTTACAGCTATCTCATGGGCATTTTCGAAAGTTACAAATTATGTTCGATTCAGTCCTTAAATGCTTCTAAAAAGAAGTCGAATAGCCGCCCGCCTGCTGTTCAGAATACTTTTGTTGCGCCTGATGATGGCAATTATACCGCTATTACTGAAATGACTTTTACCGGCTCTTCACCATCCTCTTTAACATCATCTTCGCACTCAGTTAGTGGTGCTAAGCATATCAACAATAACAATAGCGCATCAGTGAATGCTTTGCCTACTGTTGGTGATGCTGCTAGTGGTGCAAAGCACAATAACAATAAAACTCATTGCTTGCCTGTGGCCCGCAATGTGTCAGTGAATGCTTCTTTGCCTATTGCTGCTGATGTTGGGTTTTTAAATTCATGCGATCCTGCTGCTACGTCTGGTTCGCTCATATCGCCGCTGCCTTCAAACGCTGTCACACAGTTTTCTACGGTTCCTACTTTGCCTATTCAATTTTTGCCTACTGCCAGTGATGCTAATTCTAATGCTATGCTCAATAATACTGAAACTCGTTGCTTGCCTGTAGCCCGTAATGTTTCAGTTAATGCTTCGTTGCCTAATGCTGGTGATGCTGTGTTTTCAAATTCATGCGATCCTGTTCCTACGTCTGGTTTGCTCACATCGCCGCTGCCTTCAAACGCTGTTACACAGCATTCTACGGATGGTGCTGAAAAGTATGAGTGGAAAACGGTACGCAACAAGAAATCAAATAGATATAAAAATATTGTTGTGGGCAGTAATACTAACTGCGACCTCGACGTTGTAATTAAAAAGAAGTGGTTACACATCTCTATGTTCAAACCATCCGTGACTGAAGATAAAATAATTTCATATGTTGCTGATCAGTCAGGCGTTGACAGTCAACACCTGGCTTGCTACAAGCTGGTTAAAAAGGGTGCTTCTGTCGATAGTTTGCGTAGCCTTAACTTTAAATTTGGCGTTTCACCAGCATTCTACAACCAAATTGCGAATCCAGCGGTCTGGCCGACTAACATAAAAGTAAGACCGTTCCGCTTTTTTCAAAAACTGGACAACTCGGAAGCGAACCACTAGCCCAAATCGCAGCTGCAATGATAATAATCTGAAAATCTACTACCAAAATATATCTGGTATTCGAACTAAATGTGCAAAGGTTCGCATGCTAACTGCTCATTTGGAATATGACGTATACGTTTTTGTAGAATCATGGCTTAACGACAGCTTTTTTGATTGCGAAATCTTTGATTCTGACCTTTTCGACATTTTTCGCAAAGACCGTGATGCTGAGAAGACGGGATGTTCTAGAGGCGGTGGTGTTCTCATAGCGGCTCAACGGAGATTCAAAGCTTCACAAGTAACGCTCACCAATTCTGACTCGCTCCTTGATCAGCTTTGCGTCTGTATTCACAGCTCCTCCGGCGATATCCTTTACATATGTGCGTCATACATCCCGCCGAATAGCTCTGAAAGCCTTTACGTTGCACATGCTGATAACATCGTATCATTGGCGTCTGATGTCGTTGGTAATAATCACATTTGTGTTCTTGGTGATTTCAACTTTAGCCGGCTGAACTGGACTCCAAGTGGAGATTCTGCTGCTCTTATAGCTGCAAACGTGAGCTCTCCAACAGAAATTTATATCGTTGATAGCTTTTCAAGTATTGGATTACAGCAAGTTAACTGTATTTATAACCAACTAAATAGACTATTGGATCTTGCTTTTATCAGTGACAATGTAAACTTCACGTTATCGGAATGTATGTCTCCCATCTCTCCGGCTATAATGCATCATGTGCCTCTCGCTCTTGAGCTGGAGTTTTATAACTTTGATTCAGTGCCGGAAGATCGCAGTATTAATTTTAACTATAAATCGTGTGATTTTTCTTCCTTAAATGATGCCCTATCAGATATAGATTGGAGTTATACTTTCCGTGGCAGTGATGTAACCTCTTGTTACCGTATTTTTAAGACCACCCTCTATGAGCTATGCCTACAGTACATCCCTATTCTTAAGAAGAAGGTGTACAAACTACCGTGGTACACGAAGCGTTTAAAGCATCTAAAAAAATTTAAAAAACAAATTTAGCAAATTGTATAAATCCTCAAACGACTCCGCGCATCTTCTTAAGTTCCGGTACTTTCTAAAAGAATTTAATTGTTTGAACAAATTTTTATACCGAAATTATATTTTAAACTTTGAAGCTAATATTATCTCGAATCCCAAATCTTTCTGGCGTTTCATTGATTCCCGAAAATCTTGCTCATCAATTCCAACAAATGTTTTCTACAATGGTCGCTCCGCAAATTCAGCCTCTGACTCGGCAAACCTATTCGCTGAGTTTTTTTTGCGCTAACTTTGTCAATGACATGGACTCGAATATAACGGGCTCTAGCTCTTCTAGTGACTCTTCGCTGAATTTTGGTTCGCTAACCATTTCAACCGAGGACGTTATCAAAGGAATTGGTGATCTTAAGCCATCTTCACAAGGCGATGTAGAGGGTTTCTCGGCTTTTCTGTTGAAAAACTGTCTATGTTTAGCTGAGCCTCTTACTGCAATCTTCAATCACTCTCTGGCCTCGGGCATATTTGTGGACGACTGGAAACAAACGTCTGTAACCCCTATCTTTAAAAGTGGGAACAAAAATGATGTCCGCAACTACAGACCGATATCAAAGCTATCTTCAGTCTCCAAATTATTTGAGATTGTTGTAAGCTGTAAACTGTCTTTTGCTGTTAAAAACCTAATTTCTACTAATCAGCATGGGTTCGTCGCTAACCGCTCAACAGTCACAAACTTGGCTATTTTCAGTGATTACTGCTTATCTGCTTTTGAAAACAAAGCTCAGGTGGATACCATCTACACTGACTTCTCGAAAGCTTTCGACAAAGTATCACATGGTTTACTTCTGCTGAAACTGATCTCTTTTGGATTTCATTCGACATTTTTGTCTTGGGTTAAATCCTACTTAACTGATAGGCGCTGCTTTGTAGTAGTCGATAATGCAACCTCAAAACCGTTCATCGGGTCCTCGGGTGTCCCTCAAGGCAGCATTCTCGGTCCCCTATTTTTTGTGCTTTTCATCAACGATATCAGTTCTTGTTTCAAATTTGCTAATTACCTACTTTATGCTGATGACCTTAAAATATTTGCAACTATCAAAAACCTTTATGACTCAGCCAACCTGCAATCGGACCTGAACAGAGTTCATGAATGGTGCTGCAAAAATCAGTTGACGCTAAATATCGGCAAATGCTTTCATGTATCTTACAGTAGACATCTCAATACTTTGCATACATCATATTCTATCTCTGGCTCTGTTTTGCAATCTGTGACCCAAATGAAGGACCTTGGTGTTGTCTTTGACTCCAAACTCGCATTCAATAGTCATGTCGATTACATCCTTTCGCGCTCATACTCGATGTTAGCTTTTATCCGCCGAAACTGTCAGGCGTTTACGAACCCTTACACTCTTAAAACTCTGTTTTGTGCACTTGTCAGGTCAAGACTGGAGTATGCAACGTTTATTTGGAGGCCTTACACTAAAATTCTAGCTAAACGATTAGAACGTGTTCAAAAAGTTTTTATAAAATTTGCTCTCCGTTCATTAAATTTTTCTTTGCCACTTCCTTCATACTATTCTCGCTGCCAACTAATCAACCTTACAACACTGGATAACAGAAGATCCATTTTAGCGTGCACGTTTGTCGTTAACATCATAACTGGCTCAATTGACTGCCCTTCTCTTCTAGAAAAGATTGCATTTAATATTCCCTCTAGAATCCTCCGCCATTGGGATTTCTTTAAAATAGGTTTCTCTAGAAGCAGTTATGGTGCCAACGCTCCGATCTCTAGAACGTGTGCTGAACTTAACCTAGTCTTCAATGCTTTGGACATTGATTTCTCACAATCAGGCCCTGCCTTGGTTACTCATCTGCGAACATTTTTCTCTGCGCTATACCACTAGCGATGTATTTAATCTTAGCTCTTGTGAACTTAATGTATTTAAAATGTATCTTAATTTTTAAGTTTTAGTAGCACTTAATTAGTGTTAGCTGAGTAGTCTGTAAGAATATTCTGTATTCCAAGACTGAAATAAATAAATAAATAAATAAATAAATTTCAAGTTTCAATAATTTCCAAGTACAATACTTGCATGCAGTACAGTTATATTTCTGTTTGTTTCAAAAAAGACGGAAAATTAAAATCGTAACTTTGATTGTTATCAATGCCTCAAAAATATAAAGCGAACACTACCTATTACTTCCTGCTCAAAAAATATCAGGCAAACCGTGCCTCTTCTTTTTACCTCAAAAATAAAAGGTAAAAACAATCGGTATCTTTTGCAAAGGTAATAACTCAGAATCTTAAAAAGGATGCAGGAACCATAATATACAATAAGATACGATTCTAACGGTATCTTTGAAAAAGGTGGTCGGAAAATTTGTTCAATGTGTCTTTTTGATTCCAAAATTTGAAAATAACTTTTATTTACGGTCTCTAATACATTCTACTTAGCCAAAAATCTACACATCATTACTAAACCTAGTATTATATATAAAACTACGATGTTCAGGTCTTAAAATTGGATTCAAATATTTGGATGTATTCTCAATTCGTTTGCGAAAACGATCTCGGTCACGGGCAAGACTTTCCCAATGCCCCTTTCTTGCGGATTTGTAAGCAAAACTCCATGCGTACATCGTATGGACCTCTGGATTAAGGTTAAAGCGAACCTGAAATAAAAAATAAGGAGTTATAAGTTAGCAGAGAACAGATAACGCAGCAAAAAGATTTTTAATTAATTTATTTATTAGTTTATTCAGTCTACGGAGCTACAATTCCTACAGACTATAAATACGGGTTTTCTAAATATCCCAACTCCTGTGCCACGTATCGGCAACATTTTTTTTGTGGGGAGTTATTCTTTTTTAAGTAAATGTCCATAAAAATATAGAACTTTTTAATTACACTCTTTAGGAAAAGGTTTAATATGCAGCTTTTTAGACCATTTAATTTTAGTATAATAAAGTGCAAGTCATAGGTAGCTAAGACTTACCCATTATTTTTGGCAAATTTTTTGTGGAAGGTGTCGCTCATTTTCCCCATTTAAAAAAAATATCGAACATTATTTTATATTGTGAAAATGAACGACTCCTTCAACTACAAAATTTCTAAAAAATTAATGATAAGTCCATGGTGTAATAATAACAAGGTGTTGTCAGTAACTTAACCTCACTTTTTCGGCAGGTCTATTCCGGTCACGCATTTTAAAGTAGTAGAAAAAGTACTAATTATTTACTACTTTTAATCCGTTCGTGCATACTATTTCAAATTAAATGTAGAAAAATGTTTAATTACAGGCTTATAAGCCTGAATATATGTTTGTATCGTCAGTTGCACACAGCTTGGACATATATTGTAAATAAGGCAATTTCCTATAAAACTGTAAATGATTTTTTAAATAGATTAATAATAACAATAGATTGGCGCTTACACATATGTTAGTGTTTGGCCGAGCTTCTCCTCCGACTTGTGGCGTGCGCCTTGATGTTGTCACACAAAGCGGAGGGACCTACAGTTTTACGCCGACTCCGAACGGCGATTGTATTTTTATGAGAAGCTGTTTTTCATGGCAGAAAAGCACTCGGAGGTTTGCCATTGCCTGCCGAAGGACGACCGCTGTTAAGAAAAAAACTTTTTTCTATATTTTTTGCGATGTTGCTTTGACCAGGGCTTGAACCCAGGTGTTGCGGTGTGGAAGCGCGCACTGCTTACTACTACACCACAGCGGCTGACATATAGATTAAAACACATAAATATCGATAATATAAGCACAATCATAATTTAAACATGCTGCCGCTCTATTCTAGTGTATCAGTAGTCCATTTGGCTCGATATTATGACAATGCAGCAAAAGATATTTAATATAAAAAATCGCCTTTCCATACGATTTTTGTGTACGTTTTTTCCATTGATAACCACGATGTCTTTTATTTTTTACTTTTTGCGGACAAAAATTATACAAATCCAGCAATTCTAAATATTAATATTGTTCCGAAAACACCAAGTTCTTTAAATATCGCGATAAAACGAATTACTAAAAAGGAGTATTTTAGATACTATTTCCCAACGAATATTAATATAAAAATTAAGATCGACAGCACTGAAAATAAGCATGCCGATCTTGTCAAAATCACAACAAACACGTCGCTACTGACAACACCTTGTTATTATTCCACCATGGTATATACCATGATACAAAAAAGAAGACTTTTGACGGATAATAAAATTTTTTGAAGTTTCATAAATTGTCAGTATTATCAACGGCCTTGCCACTTTGATAATATTAAAACAATACATCGGAGTATTTTCTTTCCCATATTTTTACCAATGTGAGAATATTTCAAATCAAAACTCACAATAAGTACTTGATATTTTTTTACTTACGTGGTTTGCCCCTCTTATTAAAAATATATAAAATGTAAACTGTTACATTGTAATTATTCTTTTTATTTTATAATAAAAACCATTAGTGCATTATGTTGTTATTTTTTTCATTTTCTTATTTTGATATACAATTTTCGTTTCTTTAATCTTGCGATTTAAAAATCGAATTCTAAAGAATGTTCTTCCCAAATAAAATCTTTTTATAATATTTTGGTCCAAATTTACTTTTAAATTTCTCATCAGATTTTGCAAAAATTTTGGCTTTGTGGTTAGCGAATCACCATTAATTTCAACAAATTTTGAATTCAAAATTTCCAATGTATGCAAAAAACTTGAATTAGGCTTGTACAGACCGCCCTCCGATAAACAGTTAACATACGTATAATTTTGATCACTTTCTACATGCGTCCTGAAGCCTAGTTTTGTCAACCCCATTTTCGAAATTATGTAGCCGGCAAAATTTTCAAGTCCATCATATTCCACATCTTTGAGTGGACTGATGAAATCTTCTGCTTCATGCTCTTCTGCGAGCTACTTAAAAAAATTAGAAATCAAATAAAAACGAAAGGGTAAGGAGTTTACCTCGAGTTCTTCTTCTGCGGATATTTCAATATCGTTAAGTGGTTTGAAAACATTTTCACTGAGCAACTCCTCTTCAAATTTTAACATTACTTCACTTGAAGACTCAACATTTGTTTCCGTGCTCAAAATAGTTTCGTTTCGCCCTAATAAAGTTCATGAATACATTTTAGAATCTTTATGACAACAATAATTTCTTTAAGTGGTTAAAAAATTACCTAGAAGGTATGATCGAAATCTGTACTTGAATTCGAGAGGTGACGGATGGTCATGCAGCCCTCTTTTCATATATGTTCAATAACTTCACTAAACTTCACTCATTTTCATACATTTTTGTTTACTTTTACAAAAAAAAAAAATGGGAAAATTTTAGTTTGGCATCCCCCGCGTACAAAAAAAAGGTGGCTATGGGGGGGTAGGGGGAGTTCTCCTGATTGCAAATATATATACTTTTAGCCGCAGGAGGCTTATAGTTTTTAAGTTATTTGTTGTTAAAGTTTGTAAATTGAACTAACCTCTCGGCGCTATTTCACACAATAAACACTATATTTATGTAGACACTTTGGAAAAATAGCTGCATTAAAACCCCGCACAATGAAATGTAAACATACTTTTTACATTTATGATGTATTTTTAGTAAATTAAGTAAGTTTTAATAATTATCACGCACTTATATATGTATACGCACATTGTGAATACAGAACCGTTGATTCAACCATGGTTTCACACTGACATTAGAAGAGTGCAGCCACATCTAAGAAAATAACAATAAAAGAGAATAGTTTTTATCGTACCCATTTTCCTGCTCAGCGTTGAATTAGTAGTAAAGGAGGGTATGGGGTTAAATACCCCCAATAAAAAAAAAAATTGACAAGCGCCGCAGGCGAAAATTTTTAATAAAAAATCGCGCGATTTTTTATTAAAAATTTTCATTATTTATCAAGTATTGATTGTTATGGAAAAAGCGCCGCACGCGAAAATTTGTAATAAAAAATCGCGCAATTTTTTATTAAAAATTTTTATTATTTATCGAAGTATTGATTTTTATGGAAAAAGCGCTGCAGGCAAAAATTTTTAATAAAAAATCGCACGGTTTTTTATTAAAAATTTTCATTATTTATCGAAGTACTGATTTTTATGGAAAAAGCGCCGCAGGCGAAAATTTTTAATAAAAAATCGCGCGATTTTTTATTAAAAATTTTCATTATTTATCAAATTAACGATGTACGTTTTCTACATTTGTGTTATTTGAACTACAATAACACCAGTAAATATTATTTCCACCCGAAAAAAATAATACCGTTATGATCAGGAGTAAGACCCCTATCGATCCTAATATTATTATTTTTAATAAGAGCAATATATGTACACTTATACTTCCTAATTATACGCACTTATTTGTGTATTTTTTTAACGTATGGTAGCATACATTTTGTGTTACTGTCAGCCATTGTTATTTCTGCTTGTTTGTGAAATGTGCAAACGTTTGTGAAGACATTTATAAACGCGTTTTACTTAATTAATTAATTAAGAATTGTATATTAAAGTGGAAATCGCAGGCCGGGGTTTTAATGCAACTATTTTGCCGAAGTGTGCACATAAATAAAGTGTTTATTGTGTGAAATAGCGCCGAGAGGTTAGTTCAATTGACAAACTTTAACAACAAATAACTTAAAAACTAGAAGCCTGCTGCGGCTAAAAGTGTATATATTTGCAATCAGGAGAACTCCCTCTATCGTTCCATAGCTACCTTAATGCGGAACTCCGGGGATGCCAAACTAAATTGCAGCCAAACCACGTAAGTAAAAAAAAGTACCAAGCACTAATAATGGTTTTTGATTTGAAATGTTATTACATTGGTATAAATATGGGAAAGAAAATACTCCGATTTATTGTTTTAATATTATCAAAGTGGCAAGGCCGTTGATAATACTCACAATTTATGAAACTTCAAAAAATTTTATTATCCGTCAAAAGTTGTTTATTGAAACTACCTTCTTTTTTGTATCATGGTATATACCATGATATAAACTGCCACTTTCATATTTTGTTTAACATTTTAAATATTGAAAAAATTGCGACTTACTTTTTTAATATTTCCGTCAATTTTTATACCGTTGCCTATTGCAACATTCGCTTCTAAACTGTGATTTATATCTTGTTTTTCAGCATGAGGATTGCGGGTACTGGTGCAGCCTTCGTCTTCTGAATCTGTATCGTCCAAGTCATAATCATCATCTTCTGCATAATAGGTTGGTGAGAAATCACATTTATGATTATTGCTTTCATCTTCCAAGAAGCAAATGTCATCACTATTTTCAGAAATAGTACGCTGGCGTTGTCTCCTGTAGGGGCAGCTAAGATTTATTGGATGCTCGTCCGATACTATTCCTTCATCGCTTGCAAGGAGAATCGACGTGGCGTTATTTGGCTTTTTATTTACGTCCTTACAAAACGGCATGCTTAACCCTGATATCAGATTCGCAAGAATGTTTTGGGTTACAGGTTTCGTGAAGGGATATTTTACTTTAAAAACATTACTTTGATTAGATAGGTTCGCGCTGTCAGTGGCTCCACAGGCATATGCAATCGATTTTAAAGACATGTTTACGCAACTTAGTTGAGCATGGACTGCAAACTTTTGTATTATTGCGGTTTGTATCCAAATTAAGGGCTCCAATATTTTTGCACAAGTTTTGACCACACCGCTTGACGCAAGAAAACTTAATAGCGAAAATATTGATATTTAATTTATTAAAGCTGCAAACACTAGTACTTTGAAGTAATTTTCAACATGTGTAAATTATTTTTCACTTGTTAGAGCATTGCAGTTCGACAGCCGCAATAAAGAAAATAATCAAATACTTAATAACCAACATCAAGTACATGTTAAGAGCGATTTCATTATAATTTTGTCACCAACGACGCAAGTAATTCACAGTATTTTTAAACGAACACTTAACGAACATGTTTGGAGTTCTCAATGAGCGTTTGTCTATTATATCCAGAACAGAAAAATTTGCTATATATGTATTTTTAACTTTAGAATTGTGACACAATAAAATTGAATGCATTTTAATAAAAGGCTGGATGTTAATAGAGATTAGAAATCGGAAACCATCGATAGCAATATCTATGGTTTCTGGCTATTTATGAGGTTATAACCGGCCGTCTTCACAAGCGTGCAAATCTCGCTTGCATTCTGCTTTTTTCTCTCGTATGCGAGATAAAGTTTTTTGACTGGGCATTTGACAGCATACTTTCTCATTTATAAAATGTCGCCAAAAAAGAAGGATGGAGCCTTTCAGTACAAAATTTGTATTTTCCACCGAAATAAACGATGTTTCTACTCTAAAGAATGCCAAACAACAAAAATAATAGTTGAAGGCGTACGAGATCTCGCCATTCGCTCGGGATGCGAGAAAAAGTATGCTTAGTACTTTTTGCGGTCTACACGTGCGGGATCTCGCATGCTTCGTCACAGTAGCTACACACGACGAGCATATCCGCGCACATGCGCGGCTTGCGGGTCATGCTCGTCGTTTGTAGGGCGGTTTGCGCGCATGCTCGCCAAAAATCAAAAAATTTTGATTTTCAGCGAGCATGCTCGTCGTTTGTAGCGTGGTTTGCGAGCATCGCATTGGAAACAAAAACAACAACCTCATTTTGTGTTGATGCTTGCAGTGTTCACATCGCGGATAAATGCATCCAAGCCATGTGCGTTAATTGAATTTTTGATAAATGAGGCTAAATTACTATATGTATATGTATGTACATACATATAAGTAAAATATAAATAAATTTAAGTAACACATACATAAAAAACCCTAAGTCATAAGCATTTCAATTGCATCATCCGCGTCTTTCCTTTCCATGTTTACGCTTTGAGTACAAAATCACTTATGAGCCGCTCGCCGTTTGTAGCAAACGACAGCCAGCATGTTGGTGCACATGAGCGCGGATATGCTCGTCGTGTGTAGCTACTGTCACGCAAGCGAGATTTTCAGCACGAGAAGACGGCCGGTAATGCACGGTGTTGTAACGACAGCTTTTCCTTGGGGTGACTGTGGTTGTATGAGTGAGT